GGTATCTTTTCACAAGCCCGTTGGCCATTCCCGAGTCTTCTTTTGTCAACTGTCTGTTGACTGTTGTTCAGTCGCTCAGCTGTGTCCGCCTCTTTGTGACGGCATGAACTGAAGCCCTCCAGGCTTCTGCGTCCATGGGCCTTCCCAGGCAAGAATATTGGAGTGGGTTGCCATTTCCACCTCCAGGGGACCTTCCCGACCCAGGGATCAGAGCTGTGTCTGCACTGGCAGGCAGACTCTTTGCCACTGGGCCCCAGGGAAACTGTCCAGCCCCTTGGCCTGTCCTCACTTGTTTGCCTGCCCCAGGCGTTAGTTGCTGCGTGAGACCCTAGTTCCCTGGCCAGGGATGGAACCGAGCCCTCCCCCCGCCCCGCATCGGCAAAGAAAAGTCTTAGCCACTGGACCACCAGGTAAGTCCCTTGGCCTGTCTTTTACAAATAGCTTTCCTGAGAAAGAATTCTCACACCATCTAACCCACCCATTTGAAGCGTACAATTCAGCGTGATTCCTTTAACCTGAATCATCTATCACTGAATGGCTTTGGAATTTAGCTTTCGCTTTGGGCCTGATTGTGTCTCATAACGAAGGCAACCTAAAATTAGGAGGGAAAATAAAACCTATGTGCAAAGCATGTCCTGCATGGCCATCATGTTAACAAGAAAAGTAACGAGTCTCACACACCTCCTGTGACATCAAAGTTAACGTAGGACGTGAACTGTCAGTTCCCACCTGTGCTGCAGCTGTTGGGTCAGCTGTTTGGTCTTTTGGGTTCAAACTGCAGTTCTTGCAAGTAGGCACAGAGGAACCTCCTCACATCTCCAAATTCATGGAATTGTGCAGTTGCGGGGGCCCCACCTAACCCTCCAGTGGAAGCGATTAACCCTGTTAAGTCCATCTAGTGAATTTTTAAATTCCAGATTTTGTATTTTTCATTTCTAAAATTTCCTACTTGGTTCTTTAAGGACTATTTTCATTTTTTCCTACCTCCACATGCATGAGAACCCATTTTTTCCATGACCTCATTGTCTGATAATCCTAACACTGTCTTACCGCAGCCCCAGCAGATTCTTCTCCCTGAAGGACGGGTCGCAGTCTCCCAGCTCTCCTGTGCCAGCAGCTTTTGATTTTATCCTGACTGTTGTGACTGTTTTTGTTGTGTAGACACTGCATTCTGCTATATTTCTACAAAGACTGTTGCTGCCTCTGTTTTGGCAGAACTTGGTCAGGCTTGAGCTGTGACCTCTGCCACTTGGAAGGTGGGCAGAGGTCAGTTTTGGCCAGTGGGTCATTTCAGCTGTCTGCCTCACACACAGTGGTTCAGGGGTCAGTGAGGGGCTGGGTGGGGTTCATACACAGAATCTGGGGTCCTTCCCTCTGCTGTCTCCTTTTCAGCGTTCTCCACTTACTCTCTGCTCTCTGGCTCCTTCGACCAGAAAGATGGGGAATTTTGGCTGGTGTCTGAGCACTCCACCCCACAAAGCTACACCCACAAAGGGAAATCTACACTCCCCGACACCTTCCGATGAATATCGATTCCAATCCAAAATCTGCCTCCTTTCCTTCACTCCCCAGAGCCCTCGGGATTGTTGTGTATCTAAAAGATAAATTTATTGTTTTTTGGTTGTGCCATGAAGCATGCAGAATCTTTGTTCCCGAACCAGAGATTGAACCCAACCCCCCTGCAGTGGAAGTGCCCAGTCTTAACCCACTGAAGTCCTGGGAATTGGTTTTTAAATATTCTGTCTGAATTTTTCAGTTGTTATCTATGAACATGACTTTTTTTTTTTTTAAGACACTATCTGTGAGTTAGTTCATGTCCCTGGTGTCCATGGGATTTCCCAGACAAGAACACTGGAGTGGGTTGCCATTTCCTTCCCCAATATACCTGTCAGCCTTCCTGATTTCTGTATAAATTGGCATCTGGCTTGACTGCACAGAATAGAAAACCCAGCCCATGGAGAGAGGTCAGAGACGGGGCAGCCGTACATACACAGATCAACAAACAGAAACATTTGCAGGTGTGTATTGTAGACAGACTTGACCAAAGTATCGAGGGTGCAGGGCAGGGATCAAAGGAGCTGCCAGGGACTCCGGCTCCAGGGGTGCACACAGAGGCTGCGGGGACAAGTCAGGATCTGCACGAGTGCCCACGAGTGCCCAAGTCAGGATGCAGACACTGGTGTCCGGCTAGCACAAAGACGCATGTTGTCCACCCCTGGGGCCACAGCAGCAGGAAGGTGTCTTCCACCTCCCTTCTGGGAGATGGCCAGTGTATAGGCAGGTGGGCTCCCAAGGCCCCCTCCCTGGCCACCCCCAGCCTGGAGCTCACTCCTGGGGGTCATGTCCTGGCTGGGCAGCAATCACCCAGAACCTGCTGACTCGGGTCCAGACCCTCATAGCACCAGCTGGGGGCCACTCCCTGGCCTTACTGTGCGATTGTGGCATCTCTGCGGCACTGAACCTGTTTTACCACCTGAGAAATGGGAGAATAAGACCTGACGAGGCAAGGCTTTGACTCCCCACGCATGCCTGGTACCTGATGGTCAGCTGACCTGGAGCTCCCACGCCTGCCCACAGAGGAAAAAGCAGAGGCCCGTCCCCTCCCCCCCACACCTCTCCAGGTCTCCACCCGCACATTCCTGCAGCCTGAGTCCTACCCCTCCCAGCTGCTGGCCAGCCCCTCATTTGTTTCCCTTGACAGACCAGGAGTCTGCATCCCAGTTGAGGAAACAGGCTCAGAACCGGCTGATCACCCCAACATCAGAGTCACCATGGAAGTGACTGGGGTCTTCAGCGCCCAGCCCAGGCTCCAGGCTCTTGACTGAGCTTGGCCTCATCTGAGAGGGAGGGCCTGTGGGGGAGGGGACGGCGGGACACTTCCGTCGACAGCTCTGGTGGGAGCAGGGATTGGGTGGAGGCTGGTACCGGGCTCAACCTGGGAGGCTGGGGGAGACAGGGCAGCCCCCTCTCCTGCCCCCGCTGGTGCTTCACCCTTGTTGCCAGTGCACCTGGGGAGCAGTGGGGACCACCTCCCCGATCTCAGAGGGCAATGCCCACAGGGTCAACTCCATCCTAGCCCCAGCTGCTCCTGACATGCCGTGTGACCTCGGGCAAGCTGCAAGGCATCTCTGTGCTTGGGGCGGATGAAATGACCCTGTATCCAAGCCTCTAAATGTGTATTCTATGACCCTTCCCTCTCCCACTAGAGTGGCGTGGGGCTGGCAGGGAATGTGGTCTGACTTCATTCTCCACCAGCTGAGAGCCAGACCTTGGGGGTCGAGCTTGGGCTGGGATGGGAGGGTCTGCAGGTGGTGAGACAGGTGCAGAGGGAGAGAGCTTCCACCAGCGTCCTGCAGCTGCCCACCTGCTGGAGGCCATGAGCTCAGGACTCTTGGGCTGGGCGTTGGAGCCAGCCCGACACAGACGCGGCCACGGCCACCTGTACCTCGTGCGCCGCTCTGATGAGCTGATGGTCCGCTCAGACCCCAGACCCCATGTGCTGCCAGGCAGGCCCACCCTCAGGTCCTGGGCAAGGGCCTGAATCACCTTCTCCATCGAGTGCAGTGTCTATGCAGGCCCACATCCAGTGGGCACTCGGGGAGTGTGCAGGTGGCTCGTGAGTGACAGGTAACCAGGGGGACCCTGGTCTTGAAGGACTCAAGGTCAGAGAGGGGACCATCCTGGGTACCAGAAAGGGAAGCGGCGAGCGGCCTTGTGAAGGGGGACAGCACGGTGAGCGGCCCGTTCCCTCGTTGCACTCGTACGCGTGGCCTGGGGGGCCCGAACAGCCGTGACCCAGTGATCACACTGGGACCCCTCTGGGAGCTGCCACCCTGACAGCTGAGGTGCCTCAGTGGCCCCGACCTAACCTGTGTGGGGGTGCGGGGTGCAGAGGTTACAGGTCCCAGGGCCCTCAGTGGCTGGGAAAGGTTCTGAGGGCACCCCTACCTGGGGTGCGGGGTCCCTCATTACCCGAGGCTGGGTTTGGGGGCTCAGGGGAGACAGCAGGGGGACACAGAGCTCCTGTACAGCCTCATCCACCCCCAGGGCAAGACCCCACTCAACTGCCTATTTTCTGGTCTGGAGGCCTGGTGGGGGCGGGGGGTCCCCCTGGGCTTTTGCTGCTCCCCAGGACACTCCTTGCAGGCTGGGCTTGTTGCCCTGCTGAAGGGGTGCTGAAGCACAGAAGTGTGCCCCCATTTCTGGGCCGGGGTGGGCCCGACACAGACCTGGGTGGAGGTTTGGGGGAGGGGGTCGTTCCATTCCACCTGGCCGTGGTGGCCCCCTCCAGGCCTCCCTGGAAGATGCGTGTGGACAGCGGTTTGGTCTCCTGCTGACCCCCACCTATTCTGGGATAATATTCTCCAGGGATCCACTCCCCACCCACCTCATGCCCACACTGGTCCACAGGCCCCAATCCCACTCCACAGAGCACAGGAAGGTCTCCCCAGAATGTCCACCTGCTCCCACCCGCGGGGCTGACTGGCGGGAAGGGCTGTCACCCTCGGTTGTGTTTTGGCTGCAATGCATGGCATGTGTGACCTCAGTTCCCCGACCAGGGGCTGAAGCTGGGCCACAGCAGTGAAAGCCCAGGGTCCTGACCCCTAGGCCGCGGGGAACTCCCTTTGGCGCTGCCCAGGCCTCTGCTTTGAGGGGGAGTTCAGGAGGGAACCCCGTGGGCCCTGCCAGCCTGGTGCCCCAGCAGGGCCTGGGTGTGCACAAAGCCCAGGGGAGATGACCATGCTGCGGGGTGGGGGGGGGTCACTCAGCTCCCCTGTGTTGAGTGGGGAACCGAGGTCAGCCAGAGCCAACTGCAGCCCTGCCTCCTCACGGGAGACTCCTGCCCCGCCCCACCCTGCCCTGCGGAGGGAGAGGCTTGCGCCAGCCAGCCGTGGGCCCTCATGGTTGGGGGCCGGGCTGACTCACCCTGACCCCAAAGGTGGGGCCAGCTGCCCAGATGGGTGGGGCTGGGGCTGGCTGGTGCTGCGCGGGGCGGCTGCACAGACGACCTGGAGGCCTGTGCAGGTCCGAGCCCGCGAACCCCAGTGACCCTTCAGCATTGGCCTGGGGCAGGGTCGCGGGGGGGACACGGTGGTGGGGAAGCGGTGGGGACATCAGAGCGCCTGTCCTCCGCAGACCATGGCCTTGCAGACTGCTCCATCCAGCCTGGGGTCCCGGGGGACCCCCGCCCACGGCAGCCTCCTGCTCCTGCTTCTCAGCCTTGGTGAGCACTGAGGGTGGGTGGCCGGACACTGGAGTGCAGAAAGCGCAGAGGGCCACGGGGGTCCTCAGGGGTCCAGGGCCTCAGGAAAGGCTCTGCCAGCTCTACGGGTGCTCCCCCGCTACGGACAGGGCCCCCCACCCCGTTAGGGGCCCCTGATTCCGGAGACCCGTGTCCTGAATGTCAGCAGGTGCGAGTCCCAGGTAGGTGGCTAGCCTCATCTCTGCCCCGAGAGGGGACTGTGTCTGGCAGCCCTGCTGGACCCCACCCGCCCTGCAGGGCTGTGATGGGGGCACAGGCCAAACCGAGGGTGCCCACAGCACAGGCGTCCGCCTGCCCTGAGCAGGGGCCCCAGGAGGAGGATGCGGAGGCCTGTGCTCCTTCGTGGGGTGTCATGGGCCGTGACACCAGGGGCTGGCCGGGAGGGACCACCTTGGCCCCATTCCTCCCAGGGTGGAGCCCCTGGCCACCCCTCAAGCCTGATTTCCCCTCCCCTGCAGGTTGGGTTCTACCTTCCAGGGCCCAGGCTGCAGACGTGGGACTGGTAAGGACCCTCTGGGGAGTCAGGGGAAGGTTTTCTGGCCCTGTTGGGTGGGGGTGGTGTTCCTTGGAACCCAGGACACTCCCCGCTAAGTCCCAGCCCTGCTCTGTTCTCAGGCTCTCCTGACCTCAAGGTTGCAGCGCACGTCCCGGGACCTGTCCTGGCAGCAGCCTGAGCTGACCGACCTCCTCCCGAGGGCCCGGCGGGGCACAGAGAGTGAGCACGCGGCCCAGCCCCATCAGCGTCAGGAGGCGGGGGGTGGGGGCTGGCACCGTGAGGTCTCCTCTATCTGTTACCTGTGGCCCTTCCTGGCCACTGAGCTCCTTCAGTCATGATAACACGGGAGAATGAATAGAATCGCGCCATTTTGCTGATGGGTAAATGGAGGCCCCGGCGTGCCTGATAGCTCAGTTGGTAAAGAATCCACCTGCAATGCAGGAGACCCTGGTTTGATTCCTGGGTCGGGAAGATCCGCTGGAGAAGGGATAGGCTACCCGCTCCAGTGTTCTTGGGTTTCCCTGGTGGCTCAGCTGGTAAAGAATCCACCCGCAATGTGGAAGACCTGGGTTCAATCCCTGGGTTGGGGAGATTCCCTGAAAAAGGGAAAGGCTACCCACTCTGGTGTTCTGGCCTGGAGAATTCCATGGACTGTACAGTCCATGGGGTTGCAAAGAGTCGCACACATCTAAGCGGCTTTCACCTTTCAAACTGAGGCCCAGAGAGTCACGTGTTGCTGAGGGTCTCAGCGCAGGGAGACCCTGAAGGAGGAGGAGGAGGCTGACGGGAGAAGCCCAGCACCCCCCACCCCCTGGCTGTCCCTGCAGAGAAGGCTTGTCCCCTGGGTCAGGAGGCCCAGGTGGTGGACGAGAACCTCGTCTTCTATGAGGAGTGGAAGCTGGAGGCCTGTGTGGACGGGCCCCTGCTCGCCGCGCAGATGGGACGAGTGAACCTGATTCCCTTCACCTACCAGCAGCTGCACATTTTCAAGCGCAAACTGGATGAGGTAGTTCAGGGCTCAGCCCGCCCGCCACAGTGCGGCCATCCCTGCTGCCCCAGCCGTGGTGGTGGCCCTCACGGTCCCTTCCCCCGGAAGTTCTACCCGCAGGGGTACCCCCAGTCCCTGATCGAGCACCTGAGGTACTTCTTCCTTTACGTCACCCCTGAGGACATCCACAAGTGGAATGTGACTTCCCTGGACACCGTGAAATCTCTGCTCAAAGTCAGCCAAGGGCGCGGGGTGGATGCTCAGGTGAGAGCTGTGGAGGTGGGGAGGGGCAGACATAGGGTGTGAGGCTGTGCAGGCCTAGTGGGGGGTGGGGCGGCCCAGTGTGAGATGGCACAGGCCTGGGGTGGCACAGGGCGTGAGGTGGCACAGGCCCGGGGGTGGCACAGGGTGTGAGGTGGCACAGGCCCGGGGGTGGCACAGGGCGTGAGGTGGTCCAGGCCCGGGGGATATACCTCTCCCTGCCCCAAGCCACTGAGTGGCCTCCTCCCACAGGTGGCTGCCCTGATTGCCCGCTATGTAGGGGGAGGGGGCCAGCTGGACAAGGCCGCCCTGGACACCCTGGCCACCTTCCGCCCTGCCTACCTGTGCTTCCTCCGCCCCGAGCAGCTGGGCTCTGTGCAGCTCAGTGTGCTTTGGTGAGTCCTGGGGTCTGTCGGGGATGGTGGGAGTGCTGTGCTCCGAGCTCACTGCCCAGCCCCATGCTGCCTCCCCAGGATGACCACACCCCAGGACCTGGACGCGTGTGGGCCACCACAGATGGTTGTCCTCTACCACAAGGCCCGCATGGCCTTCCAGAACGTCAGCGGGTCTGAATACGTCAAAAGGATCAAGCCCTTCCTGGGTGAGCCCAGGAAGATATGGGGGGAATGATGCCTGAGGCTCCCCTGTCTTTGGGCAGTCCACTGGTGGCGTGACCAGTGTTCACAGTCTGTCCCTCCAAGTGTGTGTTGGCTGAGACCCTGTGAGTCCTGGGCACCTCCAACCTCTCCTCCAACCCAGAGGGTCAGGTGGTCACCAGGCAAACCAGGGGACCAGGAATTCCTTAGGAAAAGGGACTTGTGGTAAAAGAAGTGGCTTCTGGTAGCCTGTGGTCAGAGGGTGGGACTGGAGGCTGCTGCACGGTCTCACACTTGGCGGTTCCTCTCCCCGAGGGCAGGTGGGGCCTCCACGGAAGACCTGAGGGTTTTTACTCAGCAGAACATCAGTATAGACGTGGCTGCATTCAAGAAACTGCCAAAAGAGGCGGTGCTGGTACGAAGGTGGAGAAAGGCGGGGCCTTCTGTGGGCGGGGCCTCTAGGGGCGAGGTCTTGGGAGGGGTGGCCATCAAAGCCCCTTCCGGGGTCTACCTAGGCTAAGGCGGGGTCCGTGGGTGGGGTGTCAGGGTGGTTTGGGTGCAGGAGAAGCCCGAAGCCTCTGGGAAAAGGCAGGCGGATTCTGACCCCTGCCTGCGGGCTCTGGCAGTCGCTAACCGTGGCGGAGGTGCAGAAACTTCTGGGCCCAAACCTGGTGGGCCTGAAGGCTGAGGCGGGGAACGAGCCCCTGCGGGACTGGATCTCCCAGCAGTCGCAGGAGGACCTGGACAGGCTGGGGCTGGGGCTCGTCGGCGGCGTCCCCAACGGCTACCTGGTCCTGGACCTCCACGGCCGAGGTGGGCTGGGTGGCCGGCTGGGCGGTGTCGGGCAGAGTGAGAGGCAGGGGCTGAGGCGCCTCTTGTCTGTGCAGAGGCCTCCTCGGGAGGCCCCCACCGCCTCGGACGAGGGCCTGGACCTGTGCTCACTGTTACCGCAAGTCTGCTCCTGGCTTCGGTCCTGAGCTGAGCCTGCTGCTGTGCCCTGGCGACCGGCGCTGCGTGGAAACCCCGCCGGGCTTGGATACCGAGGGCTCTGGAGCTCAATAAAAGAACCCCATCCCCCTCTTGAAGAAGTGCCCCGTGGTGTTCTGAGGACTGAAGGGGAGCCCTGACAGCTGTGCCCCCTGCACAGGGCCCCCTGGGTTGCAGCCCCTCCCACGGGCCCTTGGAAGGGGGAGGGGCTCCAGGCAGGAGGCCCTCAGGGCCTTCCTGGCGCTGTTTCCACGCAGGGTCTCCCCCTAGTCCAGGCCAATGCTCCAGGTGGCTTCTGGTGACACAACTGCCCCAGGAGATGGCAGGTTGGAGTCCTGACCCCAGCTGAGAGGGGCTCTGTCCCTCCTCAGGCCCAGAGCAAAGGGACACAGGCGGGAAGATCAGCTTGTTCTTTATTCAGTCAGTTGGCCAAGTCAGTCCACAGAAGAAGCCTGCGCACAGGGGCAGCGTCTTCCTCACCGGCCGGGGCAGTGACCCCAGGCCCAGGCCCTCCCTCTGGCTCCAGGTCCTGGGAGCTGAGCGTAGGCAGGGACTGGCCCTTCAGGCCCCTAGGATGGGGGATGTGGCCAGGCCCCCTGGGGCCTGCATCTTGGTCTAGGCAGGCGTCCAGCTCCCCGTGCCAACCCCTGTTCTCCTGCATGTGGAGCTGGGGCAGTGCAGTCCTCCACCGTGCTGCAGATCCCCTGCGGGTGGCCCTAGCTGGGCCTTGGCGAGCCTCCAAACAGCAGCCATAGGAGGCCTGCGGGCAGGGCCATAGCCAGGGGCAGGTACCCCAGGTGGGCTGGTGGGCTGCCTGCAGGTAGCACACGGAGAGAGCACCTTCAGTCTAGCTGGGAGCTCCCAGGCTGCCCTGCGTCCCAGGCTCTGGGCCCACCCCTCCCACCGTCCCCGAGGGTGGGGAAGAGCAGTGAGGACCCCCAGGTAGGGCCGCTCTTCTGGGCCCAGCGGGGACCTCAGAGCTGCCCCATCCTCCACTTTCTGCTGCTCAACAGGTCTGGGGAGGCGACCGCGTCTTCACTAACTCAGCAGGCAATGCAGGGCTAAGTCACTGTCACCCATGTGTCGCCCAAGGAGGCAGATGGGAAGCGTCGCCAGCAGAGAAGGAGATGGGGTGCAAGAGGAGAAGCCGGGAGTGGTGTCGGGGTGGGGGGAGGAGGGTGGGTGCAGGGTACCCGAGCTGGGGGCGGTGCTCCCAGGCCCTTCTGAGGTGGGGGCTTGATGGCGCGTCCAGAGGGTGGTGCTGGGCGTCCCAGTGGTCGGGTGGGCAGAGCTGGTGGGGCCGGTGGGGTCCGTGTCCAGGCCCAGCTCGCTCAGGGCTGACCGATTGAGGCTGCGGAGCCAGGAGCTGATGATAGGGTGGCTCCGAGCCTTCTGCAGGTCCCCCACGTTCGGACCCAGCAGCGTCGTCACGTTGCCCACGCTCAGGCTCTGCGGGGGGCAGTGAGGGGTGGAGGAGGGAAAGGGCGGGGTTAGCGCTTGGCCAGAGGCGGGCGTGATAAGACCCTGCGAAACGCCTTGAAGTGGCCTGGGGCCCCACTCTCTGCACACCTCAGACTTTGGGGTGTTGGGGCCTGCAGACCGTGACCTAAGGCTCTCCGACTCCCCCTGACGGGCAGCCCCCACTCACCTGCAGCACTCGGGGGTTCAGGTTGGTGAAGGTGTCGATGTCCATGGAGACGTTAGCCTGGGCCAGGTGCCGCAGCTCCTCCACGGGGGCACCGCCTAGGGGCGTGGCAGCGGTGAGGGGAGGGGCCTCGAGGGGAAGGGCTTCTGGGAGGCGGGCCCCACGCCGGCCCGGGTCTCACCGAGGTAGGGGCGCATGAAGCGGTAGTAGGTGTCTGTGGTGCTGGCGCTGGAGAAGGCCTCGCGGGCCTTGTCAAAGAGCACGTTCTTGCGGGTCTGAGGGCAGGAGGAGATGTCCAGGGCCCCGGCCAGCCTGGGGGAGGGGGCGCGGCTCGTGGGCAGGCCAGGGGCCCTCCACCTGGGTCACCGGTCCCACCCTCTCATCCCAAACCACGGCTTTCCCCTTGCCCTCGGTACTGGGCTCCGTAGTGTGGACGCAGGTGCACCAAGAACCTCACAGTGTGACCTGATTTGGAGATAGGGTCTTTCCTGTTTGTACACGTAATCAGATTAAGATGCGGTCACCCTGACTTAGTTCTTCAGTCTCTGAGTCATGTCGGGCTCTTGGCGACCCCATGGACTGCAGCACGCCAGGCTCCCCTGTCCTTCACCATCTCCCAGAGTTTGCTCAGACTCATGTCCATCAAGTCGGTGATGCCATCCAACCATCTCATCCTCTGCTGTCCCCTTCTTCTGCCCTCAACCTTTCCCAGCATCAGGGTTTTTTCCAATGAGTCGGCACACACTGACTTAGGTGGGCCCTAAATTAATGACTGGTGTCTGAAGAAGGGAATGTAGGCACAAGGAGGCAGAGACAGGGTGATGGGACCCCTGAAGCTGGGAGAGGAGGAAGGAGCCGCCCCTTCAGGTCTCAGAGCGAGCATGGCCCTGCTGACACCTGGATTTCAGATTTCCGGCCTCCAGACTGTGAGAGGACATGATTCTGTTGCTTTCAGTCACTCTGCTTGTAAACCTTTGTCACTGCAGCCATGGGAAACTGGTGACCTCGGATGGCCTGATCTGGGCCCCCACCTGAGCCTGCCTTGGCTGAGGAGTGGAGGTGGGAGGTAGGGGCGGGAACTCTGATGGGGGCTCACCGGAACTCTGAAGGCCGGATGGCCTGGATCTGCCGGGGGCTCATCCAGCAGAGGCGAGAGCCCCCAATGGCCACGAGCAGCGCACCAGTGATGGTGCCATTGTGGTCCAGGAACTTCTGCAGGATGGCCTGCAGGCAAGGTTGGGGTCAGCCAGGCCAGGGTCAGTGAGGGTCTCCCGCCCACCACACCCCCACCCACTCTCACCTCGGTCTGGTTCTCCAGGGCCCCGTCTGGGGCCAGCAGGGTCACGACCGTGTCCTTGGACGTGATGTGCCACTGGCCAATCTCCGAGAGGGAGTAGAGGTAGGCCAGCGAGGGGATGAGCCGCAGCTGCTCCTCAGGGACTCCGCCCGGGTAGACCTGCAGGTGGGCGGCAGGTGGTGGTCAGGCCACACGGCCTACCCCCCACCCCCTCCCACTGCTGGGCTCTGGCACACCCTAGCTAGCTTAGCTTTGACGACTTGCTGGCACTCGGCGGGCAGCGGGTGCTGCAGCAGGGGGTCCAGGTTGGCCCTGAGCACGCGGCTGCCCAGGCAGGACTCGAGCTGCCCGCAGTCGTAGCGCACCAGGAAGAGGTTGTCGTGCAGGGTGGCCGCAGTGATGTTGCCACGGATGCAGGGTCTCCCTGCAGGTGGGAGTGCGGGTGTTTAGGACCCAGCTGGTCAGCCTCTGCCTGAGCTGGCCACCACTGCTGACTTTGGGCCCCACCTCACTCCTAACCTTGGCTCTTTCCAAGCTTGACTCCTAGCTGAAAACTTGGCCGAGACCAGGCTGAGTCAACCCTGACCTTGATCTCAATGCCCAAACCCGCCCCACCAGACTCTGACCACTCCCCCCGGCCAGGACACAGGCCCTGGCCAAGCTCAGGAGGTCCAGGCAGAGGGTGCCGTGCCTCTGGGGCCCCCACTGCAGGATGAGAAACCCGAGCAGAGGGGGACGCAGCATCCCCAGACCATGGTGGCCGCACTGACCTGTGTCCCGCTTGGATGGTGAGGACACTGCCCTGGACTTGGCCTCGAGGAAGCTGGTAACAAAGCGCCTGGCATCACGCTGCCTGAGCTGCCCTGCCCGGCATGCGGCCACTATGCTGCGGAAGAAGTCCAGGCCCACGGCCTGGCGGGCGGGCCTGGAGAGTCCACACCCTGGGGAGGGCCACCGCTTCCCTTCTCCTTCCCCTCAGACAGAAACTCCATGACGGGGAGCGACTGGGGACACCACTTGGGTATCAGAGTGGCTGCAGGCTGGCCCTTAGGGCTGGACAGGCTGGTGGAAGTTCGGCTGGATCCCCCTTCCCCCGCATCACCCCACCTGGGGCATTGTCCTACCTCCTGCAGCTGCATCCACAGCCCAGGGCTGATGTATGAGGCCAGGGGTCCCAGAGCCTGCAGCCCCTCCAGGTTCCAGGAGCCAGGGGGCCTGGTGTGCAAAGGGAGCTCTGAGTCGGGTCCTGAGCAGCACCCGGACCCCCTCAGGCAGCTTGCCCTCCCCAGGTGCTGTTCCCAGGGCTCGCCCAGTGGACGCTCCCACCCCAAGCCTCTGGGTACCCCGTGGGCTGCAGGGTCAGGGTGGGGTGTGAGCTGGGTCGGACTTGGAGGTCAGTGGGGCTGTGAACACCAACCCCCAGGCTGCCTCTTCTCTCATCTGCAGGAGGGAGGGGTCCCCACCCACCCGAGGACGGTCCTGCCACTGGCCAGCAGCCTGTTGAGGGCAGCCTGCTGGGCAGCGGTGAGCCGGGGACAATGCCGCAGGTTCTGCAGCACATGGGGGTCTGCAGCCGCGATGCTGGAAGCGTCCATGTCACACACCAGGACCCCGAGGAGCAGCAGGTCGGAGGCGCTGAGCCTTGGCTGGGGCCCTCCCTGCAGGATAGCAGGTCAGCTCGAGCCTGGTCCCACAGCCCATCACCTGGCCGGCCGGCCCACGGCACCTACCAGGCAGGCCAGGGCCCTGTGCTGCAGGGCGGCCCTCTGGTCGGGCAGGTTGGCCAGCAGCTTTGTGTCTCCCTGGGCAGCACGGCGGATGAAGGCCCGGCAGTCCGCTTCCTCCACCTGCGTCAGGCTGCGGAAAGGTTGGGGGGCCACTGGGAGGGCCGACGGGGAGCCCTCCGAGTGAGGGTGTCCCCGGGAGCGTGCTCGGCCCACACGGCTGGGTGCCGGGTGCAAAGGGCACTCACTTGTAGAAGAGCAGCAGGTCAGGGGGGTGGAGCGCGAAGTCGCCCTGGAGGCCTTGTCGGGCAGCCAGGTTGGCCAGGCAGCTGAGCTGGGCACGGCGGGCGGCGTGTCACTCGCTGTGTGGTCTGGGCTCTCCTGGGCCCTCTGCTCTGACTGGGACCTCCCTGGAGCCCCCGCCCACCTC